CACACATGTTTAGCGTTTCAATAATGTATTACACGTTGAAATGTGTCAACATTTCTTTATACAGTTTTTTTTTTTTTTTTGAAAATGCATAAGAGAGACATTTTTATGCTATTAAAACTGTAAAATTATGTAACATGCTTTATGCTTCCATATAGTTTGATAAATGTTCAATGTAATTTAACAATGTTGATCTGTTTAACATGTTTAGTGTAAAATATTACAAATACTGTCAGCTGTCAATCAACGTACATATGTATGGCGTATACACGTGTAACAGAGTAAAACGAATTGGTTTTATACGCACATATGTAATATTGTTGTTTGTTACAAATAATTGGTTGTATTCCATAAGGAATACAACCAATTTCTTATGAATCTGGCTACAACTTTGCTGTTTCTACTTTTTAGTTATAAGAAATACGTTTCGTCTCTGAAAATCGAAATACAAACCATATCCGATTGTTGTTTTGATTAATGCAGCAAAGTACATACTATTATTTATTTTAATTAAATATTGAAGTATAACTTTGACCTTTGCTAAATAACTATGTTTGCATTCAATTAAATCATTTTAATAATAAACGATAAATTACAATTTCCGATAAGTGGCCAAAAGTAATACTTTGATTAATCTGATCAATTGGTTTTATTAGTATAATTTCATAAATTATTATGACATTCATATCGAAGCTGAAAATCAAATCAATAGACGTCTCGGAAGAATTGGTTTACAACTTGTTATTAATGACTAAAGAATATCTTTGCTGGTATCTTCAATAAGGCAACCTCATCTATAACCTTAAAAATAAAAATGTTCGTTTGTAGGTCGGCTACAGGCAAAATATACTTAGTGATTGTTAATTATCCTTTTTTCAAAAATAACAATAAACAAACATTGAATTAAATGTGCGGAAATGTTGTTGTTTGAATGTGACTGCAGTAAGTATGTAGCATTCGTCAATGTATACAATATATGCATCTAGAAATAACCTGAGCTCAAAACTTTTGGAATATGTGTATACTAGAATTAAATATTAAAGTATAGCCTTTGCCGCAAAAGCAACAACATGTTTGTCCTTTTTCTGGTTAAGGGTATATGTTAGTGCTTTATTCAAATGTAATATGCATATTTGAATAAAAAATGTGTTCAAACATCATTATAGTTGATTGGGAGTGTTTTTCACAGCAAATAATTAATATAAACTATGTCAATAATGTATAAATAACTACGAAGGCTGTTTAAAATATGTTAACACAGTGATAAAAAAAAAACACTTTTATAAAATTGATTGTGTACGCAATTTGCATGTATTTAATAGGTTTTTGTAATTTATTATAGAAGTACAAAAAAAGTTGTCCATAATTTTTATTATCGTGTTTTTCTAAGTAATAATACCACTCGTTAAGTTTAATTTTATTCTCACCCTTGAGGCGACCAAATTAATTTAAAAAAATAGTTATTTTCCATACTCCACTCTTTTGGTTATTTATCTTTGATTTATTTGATTTTGGAATAATATTGTATTATAATTTTTTTCTAATACACTATATTTTTGCACAGCTTATGAGATAGTTTATGAACTGGCATAGGTTAGGTTATGATTGCTTTTAAGTTAACTATAACCGTAAAATAATTATTCCTGATACCCATCATATTCCTTACAACTGCTCACTGATTTTTAGTAGGTATGTTATTAGTATTCTATGTAGTAATTATCGAAAATAATTTTATATAAGTAAATTAGTTACTATACGACGGCAAGTACAATATATTAGGTTTATAATTGGGTAATAAAATAATTTTTAACTACATAAACGTCTTAAACCTGTTGGTTTTATAGACGTCGTACAACCATTCGAATTGGAAAAAAACTTTTAGCATTCCATAAACGTTCTTTGATTTCCCCGACAACACAAGGTTACTAGCGTACATGCTGCAAAAACAATACAGAAATTAAACAATGATCAAATAGAATATAAAATAGAATAACACGACATTCATATATATATATATATATATTCATATACATAAAGTTTATAACTATCCGGACGTGCTTTGGACTTTGCTTTTAGCCACCAGCAGCTGTTGGCCGGCTTAGTTTATTTTTTACACGAACAGCTGTTGTCGAACGGCGCAGTGTTTATTTGGCTGAGTGCTGTAGTTGGCTGTGGGTCGAAGTTGTTTTTCCTCTGTGTACATACGCCATTCCAATTTAGTGTACACAATTAAATGAATAAAAAACCGCACAGGTAGAAAACAAAAATCAATTAAATACATAGTCGTGCGGTAAAAAAAAAAAAAAAAAACAAACCTAACCTTAATGTAGAGCAAATATTCTGAAATACCAATTTTTTTTATTTAACAATGTTCACGTCATTTAAATATACATCAAAAGTAGTTAGTTCATCCATACGTTGGACATCACAGTAGAATTTTGTAATTATATATTATGGCGATTACTGACCTGAGTCGTACTTATATAGCAAAAACGACATTCAACAGTGAAATAAAAAATGAATATGCAATTTCGATGAAAACAAAAACACGGTAATTCGTTTCTTTTCTATAGCCGTTCATACGAATCCCCAGTACATTTAGCCGTGTATTGATAAAACCAATAAAAAAACATTGCATCTTCGCCGGAACAAGGTACCATAATATTTTCTTATTTGTACACTACATGTACAACTTGTACTCATTATGTCATTGTAAGCTACGACCAACAACGGCTATCATTGAGTATTTTATTTTTATTGCTACCTTCTAAGGACCATTTTGAGAGTATATTGACAACGATCATAATTTATATCAGACAAACCGAACAGCAAGTTTAGGTCGGTATTTATGATGCTGTGATTTGATACTGAAATGATAATCGACATAATATTATAATATTATGTTCAAGTTGAAATTTATTTTATAACGATCGTCACGGTTTCCTTGTGGCGGCTAAAGCGTTTCATAAATTAAACATTTTTTTTTAGGTGGGGTGTTGCGCAATTCAATAAAAAATAATTTTTGTACACAAATTAGTAATAGTAAAAAAATTAAATAATAATAACCGTTGCTTTTTTGTATATAAAATCGGAATCCAGACTCGAAAGTTTCGCTTTTACAAATAAAACAAAAAAACAATTGATCAAAATTCTGTTATCCTTTGGTTTTTTTCCGTATGGTTTTTTTTTTTTTTTTTTAGCTAAAACCTGATGGGCACTTTAAGTAAGTGGAACAGCCAAGAAGTGTCTCGTACGGATTGAATTTTGAATAAAATATATTATAGCACACTCAGCCGAAAGCTTTTGTGTCTTATTGTAAGTATATTATGTATGCAGTAAGTGTGTGTATCACATTAAAAGCAAGGATTTCGCCGAAAACTAGGTATTACCATCGGGTATGTTTTTACTCGATGCTATTATGAGTTGACTTGGAAAAGTGCTCGAATTTCAGACTTTATTTTTTTTCAGTTGGAACTATAGCAAATCTCAAGACAAAAGAAAAATATTGTAGTGAAATCCCGGATGATATTTTTATGACTTTTGACATTGCGAGAAAATGATAAATCCCAACGGTTGAAGTCGTCTAATGTCGTTAAGGACATTGTATTTATTTTATTACACTGTAAAAGGTTTTAAAGGTATTTTTCAATTGCGACGTTGCGATGTGGAACAATCTAACAGTAGTGTGCAGTGCACGAATTTCTCGAACGATAAGTTACACTTACATGTGCATTATTACACTATAAAATTAATATTGTATATTTTATCCAATTCGGTATTTACGAATTACCTCCTTAACTAGTATTGTTGATTTCGTGATACAAGTTACAACGCAAAACGTATTACACAGAGTATAATATATTATTATTATTATTATTATTTATATTTTATACTGGTTTGATCAAAGTCATTAAACCAGTATTGGTCTACAACACCATACTTTGTTTTCGCTAATCGCCAATGATCGGTTTTAACGTCCGCAAGGAAATTGTGTCCATTGACTTCCATGCGATTCCCTTCTAGACAAAATGTGCCTTTATTTGATGGGTTAAGGCCTTACAGTTGGCTGTTAACCTGATGCCGATCAAACAAGTTTGGGACCCAGCAGAATGGGGATAACTAGTTGGGGCGACTGTATTTCAGTATAATAGTTTAAACACGGGCGTGAATAATCAAACCGACAAACTTAATCTCACTCGGTCAAATTCTGAAAATTAAATTAAATCTAAATTGACCACTTCGAAAATATTTTTAAAATGTACACAACGCTTGTTATAGAAATCATTGAAGTCGAGTACAAGTATGATTTATTATATAATCGATATTTTATGTTGAAAGTGTCATTGGCTGAATTCATTGTGCTCGTAACGATAACACAATGTATTTTAAATTAAATTCAATTGGTATTTTGCACATCACAATAATAATTATGATAATATGGTATTTTGCGCTGGCAATCGTGTCGTTTGGCAATTATCGTTTTCTAAAATATGCATGAGAAAGACAGAGAGCGTCACGACTAAAAGTGTTTCCAATATTCATTGTATATCTATTACGGACACGCGCTTTGGTTAGGACCAGAATATTAAGCATTATTATTATTACCACACTTATTATTGGGAGAACTGCGACGGTTTAATATTTGCAGCCAACAGAATTTTTATTAGTACAAAACCAGAAACACATACATAAATAATATTATTATGCTGTAATGTCGACAGTGACAATATTTTATGACGGCACGAGTCGTATTGTTTCTAATGTCTCGTTTTAATGTGTAAAATATAGTATAATAATTATAAAACTTAATTTTTAATGCGGGTTGTCGATATTTTAAAGTTTTTAATATAAGGACTTTATCTAACTTATTACAACGGTTGTATATGAAAGTTGTACGTACATAGATAATATATTGTACAACAAGAATACATAAAAAAACAAATTGTAAAAACCACATCAAGGTTAAGTATGGAAAATAATTTTCAAACAAATAATATTTAATTACACTTTCGTTTATGAAGGCAAGAGTTATTAAAAAGCTATAATGAGTAGATAACAGGCATAGTTTAAACATTATAATATGTTGATCCGATGATGACTTGCGGTGTTCGTCTTTAGTTAGTTTTATTAAAATATATTAATATGTCAACTAGTTATTTTACATAATATATTGAAAACATATTTACTAGTTACTACAAAACAACTAACATTGGCAGTGGTTTTCCGGACGGACCGACCTAGAAAAGCGACCAACAAAATACAAAACATAAAAAAAAACTATTTTTAACCAATATAATAAAACGACCGGACAGGAAAAAAATCACTACGTTTTTCATGTGTTTATAATGCATCGCCTTATACAGCTTAATTTGCATCTGGAGATATTTTTCTCTAATTACAAATAAATAAATACAAATTATTTATTGTATTATTTGTAATTGATTACTTGAACTATAGGCGAGTAGTCACTGTTGGGGTAAAACCAAATTTAAATAAAATAGTTCCATCTCCGGTGTAAGATTTAGAAAAAAACAAGTCAGTGATTTTAAAATACAAACATTTATAAACACATAAAAAACGTAGTGAATTTTTTCTTATAAGCTACCTACTTAAAATTGTAAAAATGAGGATATTTCTAGTGAGGTTGTTATTTTTGTATAAACTATAAATCCACAATTAAAAAAAAAAAAAAAAAAAGCGCATCGCGTGTTTATTAGATTTTTATTTATGACATTTTTAAATATACTCAATTTTAATCGCGGTTAAATTATCGAAACTAATTTAAGAAAGCTTTAACGCGTCATCGGTTCGCAAGACATATTCGGTATTATTATGTTCGAAATGGCGCCATCCGAGTAAAACGGTGTCTTACTTGACAGAGAAAAATCGTTAAATCCCTCTTACGTGGAAACCATAATGAAGTTTTCTAAGTACAGTACTTGATACTCCATAACAGCTGTTCCTTGGTTTTTTCTCTCGAACGGCAAGCGAATACTTCTAGACTGTAGCAGGTGCGTTGAATTCGTTTCATCTCGGCGCCCTCGTGCTAGGTGATCAGGAAAAATGTATTATATGCTACGATATTATTATTGTGCGGTGTGATGAATTCTTGTGTTTCGTTCTTGTTGAAAAGAGAACGAAAGCAATGTACGGGGATTAGTATATTAAAACATCCAAGACGTCTCTAGTCGAGCAAAAAACTGTTGGAAAAAAAAACTGGTTTTTGACGGAAGCGTTCACCTGACCGAAGGATTCTAACGTACTCGGCGCCCTTGAACGGAATATAAGTAATAAACATAAGACGGGAATTAAACAAAGTTGGTATTTATTTGGTTGAAATAAAATAAAATAAATACAATTTGGAAATCAGCTTATTTCCGTTAAACGTAGTGCACACAAAATAAAAATAGAAATAGTATTTTTCATTATGTGTATTTTCAAAATACACAATATCAAAGACTACACATAATGAAAATAAATGTACAAATAATTTTCTAAAAAATATTATTGAATAATACCACAAAACACAATCGATATGAAAATAAGAAACATATTATTTTGTTTGCTTATAAGAGATTTCATTTTTTCTAATTATCCAGATTGCCAAACCTATGGGAAAATGAGAAAGAGGCAGAATATAAAGTATTTTATTAATAATAAATAAATTAATTTATTACAATTATTAGTTTAAATAATTAAAAATGACATTTCTCTGTTTACATTAAAGAAATTTAATGTTATGCATTTTTTAAAATTATTATTATAAATAAATGTATTAGCAGACTTTAAACTGTATACACTTCTCTGGGCAGATATTTATTTTCTTAAGAAATTGTATTCACATAGTTGCTATTTATGTGTATGTATATATTTCTATTGATTTTTAGTTATTCCGCTTGTATAAAGTAAATAGCTCGTTTGACAATCTAGTTTATTAATATTATAAACACAAGCGGCCGTCGACACTTGCCGGTCGCGCAGCTGGCCAACGGGTCGGTCGGTGTGCGTCGATAGCCGTCGATAACGTGAGACTCCGCCCGCGCGCATTGTTGTCCCTTGAGGTGAACCGATGCCGGTCAAGCCATATCGCACTCGGCTTTCAGGCTGGCGCTGGACATGAGGTTGGACTGAATCCAGTGGTGTATGTCCAGCGGACAGTCGGGCTTCCGCAACGCCGCGTCCTGCGCCTTGGAACCCGCCACGGACCGGATCAGCTCGTCGGCGCTGCAAACCGTCACCCGCTGTCGGTTGTGGAGGACGGCCCGAACGAATCCATCGCCTTTGGTAACGAACCGGTGTTCGAAGAATATGGACATGTCGTCCCAGTAGACGATCCGCGTCCGTATCTCGAACGAGCTGCACGTGCGCACGAACTTCCGGTACCGGATGCTGTTGGCTATGGTGAACATGAGACCGCCGCGGCGTCTCAGCTCCCGCCACAGGCCCGTCCGCATCAAGAACTCGATCCGGGCGAAGTCCACCTCGCGCAAGTACCGCGCGTTGTTCATGTGCGTCAGGTACACGTCCAGATCGGTGGTACTGCAGACGGACGAATAGACCGCCGTGTCGGTGGGCCGCAGCTTTTTCTTCAGCCAAGTGCCCGCCACGTAGCTGAACAGCGATCGGAAAAAGTACGGCACGTCCACCAAGCACATGGCCAACAACGCCAGGAACAGAACCGCACAGCCGCCGGCCAGCAGGGCCACCGTGGTCACCGAATCGGTTAGCGACGGCGTCATCTCGGCGATGTTGTAGTCTAATACGAGGGCCCTCCTCGGTGGCAGTACGAACAATTACAAATGAATTGTATACGTGCGACCACAACGACAATTAATACCGTCGGACGCCCCCCGGTGACGGAACGATACTGGCGGACCGCAGCTGATCGACACGAGGTGACCGCCGTGACCACGACAAAGGTCGTCCATCGTACTGGCGTCCATGTGCGCGTCTAGCCCCACCGGACCGGTCATGGCGGCAATACAAAGTTGTAATAATGTAAGGAATAACAACAACAATAATAACGATTAAATTATTATTACTATGTATACCACGAGGTAGTGCGCCACGCCGCCGACGTAAAGCAGGATACCTTCGAGGCGTGGGAGGAATATATGTTTTTTTTTAATTTGCTTACAGCCTTACCGGACCGGTGCACTAAGGTAATAATGTTGTCTGCGCATTCAGCAAGATACATAACGCCGAAAACGCGACTGAGTGGGGACAACGAAATAATTGTGCGATACAATAATCGTCGTCTGTATTGTAGAATTTGCATAGATTTTTTTTTAGTAAAAATGTTTTTTTATCTTAATAAAATTATGGTTGGACTTCTACTGAACTCCCTCCTACTCTATACCATGTCCCATGCCGCGACCCGACGAAAATTGGCCGTTCCCCGAATCCCCGCGCGTCACCTAGTGTGACTAGCGTTCCCCTCGGTGCCGCCCTGCCTGCCCGCCAGCCTTTTCTCGGTGGCTGCTTGGTCTCCAGTCTACGCATGCGCATAACCGGCATGAAATTCTTGACACCCCCTATCCAATACATTTTAAAATTGATGTTGTCCGCGCATTTTACACAACATAATACTGGAAATACACAGTGAAAACAATAGGATGACGACACAATAACAACTATCGACATTGTCCATGTCCTCTGTTCACATTTGTATTAATTTATTGTTTGGCACTCGCCGCTATGAAACCCTGTCGAGCATACTAATTAAGTATAATGTGACAGAATGTTGTGATAAAAACGTTCTTAAGCCCAAGGTTACCGCCCCTATTTTAGCACCTCCTTGAAATGCATGTCGTTATCGTTAAAGTTCACAAAATAATACCGTGCGGATTTGGTACAATTATTACAACAGAAATATTACATTTTGTTACTGAATGGTTAAAAGGTGTGTAATAAAATGTGAGCAACTCACTTACTTTCTAAGCGTTGTCTATAATTAAATGTTAAAAACTAAATAGTATACATTCAAAATTCAATTCGCTTGTTAACCTTGAATTTAGACGGGTAGCAAAACAGTTTTCTTTTCACTTGCATAAAATACAAACGTGCTAGTTTTCAGGAGTTTAATACAGGCAACACAATTTACAAGGTATAGTGATAAAAAAACAAAATGTAATAAACGCATTCGCCTGCCAACATCAGTTCACACGCTTTATACAATTTATGCCGTTGCTAAAATTTAAATGACATTTATTTTTTAAACTTCTTATATTTTGAACGGTTTTTAAACCGATAATTATTTCGAACCATAATTTTATAAATATCAAATTATCGTTTTATTTTGGCCGTCATTATACACTATTAGCCTACACGCTGTAAATTCGTTTGTGACTTATACATTGGGAACATGGGCCTAAAACTGTGTGAATAATCAATACTAAAATTTTAACAAAGTGCTATTAGGAAGATACCTACGGTAACCTTAGGTTTATAAAAAAAGCATTTTTATTACAATGCGACCGCGAATTAATATGATCGACGCGACGGTGTTTGGTCGCGGTTAATTTCGAATACTAAAAAACACTCAAGTCAATACTTAATGTATATCTATACATGCGAATAAGAATAAAACTTGTTGGCATTTATAGTAGCGGCCAATTCCCATTGTCTCCGCCGAGTTATTTGCAGAGGTATGTGCGTAAAGTTAATTTGTGCGAACACCTTCAAATTGAACATATTATTATTGGTTTATCAACGGTTAGGTAGGGTATTAATGAAAAATGTGTATTCCTACCACGCCTCGAAAACACCCATCCCGTTCAACGTGACTTTGGCTGCCAGTGTGCTGTATCGCGTACATAATAATAGTAGCTTTACCTAACCCGAATGCCAACCACCCAAATCGGTAATAAACCCAAGTCCATTTGTTCTTCCGGTATGTTGACAATAATTTTTATCAGTCTCGTAGTACTATGACACTAGTAACTATGGACAATAACGATAATACCGAAAAACCATAAATCACGCGAAAGATCTATTGATGTGGGTGATATCTGTATTATTTAGAGAAAACAAACGCATCATGGAAGTCTAGCCAATTGCAGGTCCTCGGTATAGCGCATGATTTTCTACAAAAGTCACCATCACCCCTTTTTCTTGTTCGCCTTATAATGCGTACAAATGGGGTCGAGCACCTAAATTCTTTTTCTAACACTTTTCTGTAAAAAAAAATTAATATATATATATATATTTAACCTTTCCTAAAAAAATGTTTTTAACATGTCAACGGGTAGTTAAATATTAATTTTGTTTAGCGTTCAAATTCTTATTGCACTGCAGACAAAAGAAAAAGAAATCATTTTACCAAGGAAAATAGTAACCGTAGGTTTTATGTGGTAGGAATGGATTAGATTAAAATCCATAATAGTGACTTACAAGTTACAGGTAGTCGAAAATGTATGCCCTAAAATTGAATAATCCTAAAATGATTTTTTATAATGACCCGGCAATGACGATGCTTAAAATACCTAATAGTTGTTTGAAAGTTCATATATTTTTTTAATTTAACGTAAAATTAATATAAAAAAAGTATCTATTCTGTTTGAAATTGGTAGAATTTTTTGTTGACAATTTTGATAGAGAGCAATTTCAAATTTAACGGTAGAGAATACACATTTACTACTTTAAAATGTACTGACGGGTACAGAAATTAAAAAAAAAAACGAATTTTTAAACCTGATTATCATAAATATTAATTTTCATTGTTATTATATTATGTATAATATTATCATAATTGATAATAGTAATAACTAATAAGGATAATTTTGTATAGCTTTTATTATGTAATAAAAACTCAAGAATTACATTTTGTTTTACATTACGTTATTATTGCAATATAACTGTAATATTATTGGAATAACAAAACATTTAACTTAATTCCTCTAATAAAAAAATAGATACGTATATAAAATATAGATACGTCATAAACAAGAAATATGACGTGATCTTTTAGACTTTTATAATTCTCCGAAGACATTTTATATGACAGACATTTTAAATGAGATCATAAACATTTTAGACTTTAATGTTATGGTATATTATGTCTTTATAAAAACATGCACTTTTACATTAGCCAGAGATCATTTCGAATGGTGTACAATATACTTTTTACAACCCGTAATAATATATTTTATTTGACTCAAAAGTACAAAAAAAAATTAGTATTACCAAAAAAAAACAGGCAAATTATAATATAATATATGTGTTTCATTCGATTATTAACTATGAGTTATAGTAACTAGTTACAATTAAATGACTTCGATACAAGTTATTTACGTGTCTTTTTTTTTCTAGGAAATTCGTGTAGTTTAAAACTACTGAGTTCACTAAAATATCCAAAAAATAATAATACTGCTGACTTAATTTAACCGAATGATTGCTTTTTTGGCAACTTTACTAGGTTATGTAGGAAATAAATTTTTGATTTTTTTATGTAAAAAAATAACAAACTAAATTTTTTTAATTACAAAGAACTGAAATGTATAAATCATAATAGACTAGTGATGGGAATCGGAAAATCCGGATTTTCACAAAAAAACGCTATTTAAGCTACTTAAAAATCATATAAGTGTTAAATAATTTTACAATATAAAGCTCTATATCTAAGTAACATTTTTTTGATAAATATGTGAAAATAAAACAAAACACCAAAGATATAAACTGCTTTTGAATTTCGGATTTGTTGAAATCCGAAAATCCGGAATCCGAAATCCGAAAGCATTTTATAGACAAAGTTAAGAGTTTTTTTTAAAAATTTTTATCAACAAATTTTACTTAGGTACACATCTTTATATTGTAATAGTATTTAACAATTATATGATTTTCAAATGACTTAAAAAGCGTTTTTTTGAAAAATCCGGATTTTCGGATTCCCATCACTATAATAGACTTCCTACATAACATAATAAAATAGCCAAAAAAATTGAATCTTTACAGATTTGAAATTTGACCATCCTAAGTAATCGAAATTTTGTCTGGCTTCTTGGTCTAAAATAAACCAAAATTACTTTTATTTATAGAACAAATTATTCAAATTAAAAACAAAACCTCGAAGCTTCTACAAATTAACTGGTAAATTAATGGACATGGTCGAAATTTATTAAAATGTTTTTTTTTGTAAATATTGCCTATACAAAACTCCTTAAAAACAAACCGCATGCAATCCCCTTAATGTAATAATTTGAGTGTTAAACATTTTATTATAAAACAGTTTTATAATATGTTAACTATTGTTCGGCTCAACACGATATTGTGTATAGTAATTCTATATTTGCTAATAACATCAATTGATTTTTTCCGAATTTAATAGCTATAGGGTTTTGATGTACTTGAGTAAAGTTACATATTTAATACTTTTGGTAAGTTAAAGTTAGACAAATAAAATAACTAAACCATTATAACTATATTTTAACTACTATTAAATAAAGTATATGTTTATAATACTACAAGAAACTTAAATCTCTATATTAGGATAAAAAATATATATATGTCAGTTACAGTATTTCTCCATTGAATCAGAAACAATACTATTTTATTGTTTTCAAACTTAACAATATAACCGAGTAAAAAAACATAAGCTTGGTAAAACAAAACTGGCAACTAAATATAATGTTCTCTAAGTTATTTATAGGTTTTAAAACACAAGTATATTGAAAGTTTTAATATCCATAATATGTTATGGCGTGCACGCAAGCAATATGAAATCGAACAAAATGGCATTTAAAAATGTTAGCTCTTAGGTACGCAAAGTTTGTAGCAAATATATTTATTTTAATTTGTATTTTTTTTGGCCTTTATATAAAATAATATTATGGCTTGATTCTTATTTCAACAATAACATTACAACAATACTTTTTTTTTTTATTATGGAATTCGAATTATTAAAATAATTTTTATTTTATAAAAAAAAAATACTGCTTAAT